TTTAAAAATGGAGATGGACTTGGAGTCGCGTATGCTAGGCGGCAGCGAATTCCACAATCTCACCGCATGAACCGTGAAGGAGTAGGAGTAGAAATCGGTTTTATGTTGAACGATTTCAAGAAGGGACTTAAGGTGGGATCTAGATAGGGCTTCAGGAGGACGAGCCAAGGAAAAACGGTCACGGAGATATATAGGATAGGCTGGGTTGTTAAGGACATTATAAAGGAGACATAAAATGCGAGTGTTCCGGCGAAGTCGGATTGGGAGCCACTTGAGCTTACTGCGATATACTGAGACATGATCGTACTTCTTAAGATCGAAGACAAAGCGAATACAGACGTTTTGCAGCCGCTCAAGCTTGTTTAGTAGCTCCTCAGTGACGTCCAAATAGCAAGCATCTGCGTAGTCGAGTAAAGGCTGAATTAAGGATTGTACGAGGAGAATTTTAGTTTTAAATGGCAAGAAGGACCGGAGACGCTTCAGCGAGTGAAAGGAGAAATGGACTCTTCGACTGACCTCACTCACCTGTGCACCCCATAGAAGATTGGAATCGAAGATTACCCCCAAATTCTTGGCAGTGTCAGTGAAAGGGATCACTGTGCCATTTAGGCGCACGGGCTCAAGAGTAGAGATGTCCAGAGCGCTGCGGAAGTATCGACTACCGATGATCATGGCCTGAGACTTAAGAGGATTGACTTGGAGACCAAAGGACTTGGCCCACTTATCAATCCCGTCCAAGTCGCGGTTTACAGCATCGATAGCGCGACCAACTTCCGATAGTTTGAAGTGACGATAAAGCTGCAGGTCGTCTGCGTAGAGGTGAAAATTAGAGGAGATTACCTTGGCAACGGTATTTATAAACATGGAGAAAAGAACAGGAGAAAGGACGCCACCCTGAGGCACGCCAGCAACGAGGTCACACCAATCGGAAAAAACTTCCTCCAAGCGTACACGCTGTCGACGACCCCGAAGATATGATTCAAACCAGTTCAAAGAAGAGGAAGAGAAGTTGTTGGCCTTCAGAACACCCAAGAGGATATCAAAATCCACTGAGTTGAAGGCCGAACTGAAGTCCAGTAACACAAGAATAGTTAGTGACTTGTTGTCCATGGCCCAACGAATGTCGTCAGTCACTTTGAGCAGAGCCGTAACGGTACTGTGACCAGGGCGGAAACCAGACTGATAAGGAGAAATTAGATTATTAGAAGATAAGTAGGAAGTAAGCTGCTTATGAACAAGATGTTCCATAACTTTGGAGAGGAAAGGAAGAATAGAAATTGGCCTGTATTGGGAAGGTGAGCAAGGGTTGGAAGATTTAGGTAAAGGAATAATATGGGCCATCTTCCAGGCAGAGGGGAAGGAACAAGAGAATAAGGAGAAATTAAAAATGTGAGTAAGGATAGGGATAATGAGATTAAGAATGGGGAGAAACATGCGGGAGCATAGATTGTCATTGCCCACTGCAGATGACTTAACGGCGAGCATTGACCTTTTGACATCTTCTTCGGAAACACTGCGTAACTCAAAAGGAGAAGAAGGGAGAAATGGTAAACAGGAAAGATCGTAGAGAGTTTTAGATTTTGTGGAAATATCTAGAGTAACCGGAGGAAGCGAGAAGTGTAAGTTTAGAGAAGTGAGGTCCAAGCCACTACATGCGGCAGCAGGTGACTTTCCGATGCCCACAGAACGCAGAAACTTCCATGCATCACTAGAAGAACGATTGACCAGGTTTTCATCGAAATAGCACCTTCTAGCATCCCTACACAGACGATTGCATCGATTACGAAAAGCCCTGAATAGTGTGAGGTTTTCATCGCAGGGTCTTCTCTTATATTTTTGTTTGGCCCTATCACGTCGAGCCATAGCTTCCTCTATATCAGGCGTGATCCAGGGAGCCGGTTCATGCTTCACCCTCACCCGTCTCACCGGTGCAAATTTGTCAAAAATATCAATGATAATTTTATTAAGAGTGTTGACCTTGACATCAATGCACTCGGCGTCAGTTATAGGACTCCAATCAATGACACTAACATCACGCTGTAACGCCTCCAAATCCATCTGCTTATAACTTCGCAGATTCAGATAAAGGGGTCTGCGTTTAGGTGTACGAATGCGGTAAGATAGGAAAATTAGGTCGTGATAGGAGAACGAAGCAGTTAATTGACCATAATCATCTACGTGGCTGGGCGACGAGACAATCATAAGATCAAGCAGAGAGGGCGAAGAGTTAGGGGAATTATGAGTAGCGGAGAGAGGAAGTAAGTGTAGGTTGAAAGATGACACAAGCGATTTAAATTTGAGTGCACGGGAATCATTCTTCAGTAAGCATGTGTTGAAGTCACCCATAATTATAATGTGATTATAATCAGGGCATAATTTGTCAAGTTCAGTATCGAGGCTGTCAAAGTAATTTATGTGCAGGTTCGGGGAATAAACAACTGCAACCAGAATTTTATTTAATTTAATGGAAATCTCAACAAACATGTACTCTACTGATTCGGAGTAAGGAGATGGGGATGCGCTAATAACCCGATAAGGTAAATCTGACCGAAGATACATGGCAACCCCTCCCCCACCCCTCCCAGTTCTATCGTTACGCACTAAAACAAATCCCGGTAAGGCATAGTGAGTAGATAAGAGAGAAGGTTTAAGGAAAGATTCAGAGATAAGAAGGATATCGAGGTGTGCATTGCTAAAGGTAGCCAGAAGATCAGTATAGTGGCCAGGAACACTCTGAGCATTAATATGAGCGATATTTAAGTTTGTAGGGTAGGACGAAAAAATATTGGTTAAGTTATCATGCAAAGTAATTGGTTGGGAACTATCGCTATCGGCACTAACAAAGCTTGACGAAGGAGAGCGTGTAAAGAAACTGTCATCGAGATTCATTAACCCATCCATACCTAATTACATTCAAAACCACAAATTTGAAACTCCGAATCCAAAAACATAATCCAAACAATGGGAGAAGCCTATTATATAATATGAATCACAATTTGAAGCGAGGTTTACATACAGTGTAGCATTCATAAGAATCCAGGGCACGAATGTTAGATATTTCGCCCGAACTGAACAAAACAGTTGCAAACGTAACGACGTTTGTACGTTGTTCAAGCCATCTATTTCGACATAGATTCATCCCTGGAGAAATTCCGTAGTGGCGGAATAACGCTCAGTGTAAAGCTTTCAATCCAGCGCTCACTTGAATGGGATCAAACATAACTCCCAGCTATATGCTTTTTGGCGCACCGTGATATATTCAAACTATATGGTCCGGTAATACATAACATCAAGGCTTTTACTTCCCGAAGATAGCAAGAAGTTCTCAGTTTTCGTAAAATTCTTTTTGGGTAAAACCAAATCTTGTTTCTCCTTGATGGACCTGTCCTAAGAACATTTGATACTTTTCTGACTTACAAAATTTGACTTCCTTTTTGGTGAAACTCTGAAACACAATTGACGTATAATAACATACCTCTTTTGTAATGACAACGTGATAAATCGTATAAACTTACAGTTTTTATAGTACACACATCTGAGGAAAGTAGAAACTATCATTTATTTCTTCTTCTCTCATTATTATGAGAAGATATTTCTTATGATTCATTTCGTTGCGGACACCAAAATAGTTATTCACGTCCCTGGGACGCGCCGTACTTTAGTGTTCTGGTGTTTTCATAATTGTGTCTACTGTAAATCCTGGTTTACAAGAGTTGTAGCAGTTTAGGGAAATCATGGCGGGCTTGTCCCATAAAACAAGTAAAAACATCTGCCACAGTGTAAACTCTAACCAAGAACGCCATATCGACCGTAATGAATTCTGCCGAGCAGCTTAACTTCACTCAGAGCCGAACCAATCTAGAGAGAAAAAGAAGGAAAAATAAAGGAACCATTTCATCTAGTAAACATAAGGCAACCTCAATACCTATGTTCAGATTTTAAGAATTTCAGACAGCTGACATAATGTGGGTTACAGATTTCACTGGCCAGACGACGACCTAGATCGAGTTTTACAGCACCGAGACACTAAAAATTTTTACGCCATTTTTATGTTACTTTAATGTTACCAAAATCCCTTAATACCGAATCCTAGGATCTTTAGGAAACCCAGATTTTAAGTAAAGTTATTATCTTCAATTGTGGTTGTTTTTAAACACAGTTAAAATTTTGTTTTGAGTACAGAACAATATTAAATTTTAAATACATATTTAATATATCGTATGCAAGTTCGTACTAAAGCTGTTCAAAAGAAAAAAAAAGTCTTAGGTACCATTTCTTCAGAAAATATAACGTGTACTGTCACAACAAAACTTCAACATTTTGAACATTACTCTTACAAACATAAAGTAACAAATTGTCAGCAAAACGCAGAACAAAATAATCCCTGTTTACTCGGCATTGTTTCTCTAAAAAGTCTTGGGAACGGTACCCGTGTACAGTCGCATACTCCTTTAAATCCGTGGACTGAGAAAATAGGAGCAGACATATCGTATGTTATTTCCTTGTTTCCATTTCAGACAGCTTAAAGTGAAACGTGCTGTTATGCTGTGCTCTACCGTGTGGGACGATTTAAACTTTCAAACATATCATTTTACTTGTGATTGTTAAGTTAACATTTATATCTATAAAGTAAAATGAAATTAAAGTAAAATATCTCTATTGTCAAAGGAAGAAGTAAAAGGAAACTGTTTCGTTGGTTGCATGGCTACTGGAGCAACTACCAAGCAAAGAGTCCTGTTCAATTCATATTTTTATTTATTTATTTATTTTCGACCATGATCGTCCCACGGCAGGGCAAAGGCCTTTTTACCCTCCTTCTTTCAATTCATAGGTTGAACGAAATGTTATTGTGGTTTGTCGGTGTGCAAAAAGTTTTCTTTATTAATACGGAGTCCAAAACTGTTCCTAATACATGGATATATTATATACGACTATGCCCCCCTATTACATACGACTCATAATATAGTCATAATACGTTATTTGAATTTATCAGAAATAGATGATTCTCAAAGCTAAGAGACACATAAGTATTTTATTATTATTTCAACTAATTAACCATTAATTAATCAGCTATTATCATAATGCAATCGCGAGAGATAGAGGATACAGGTGGCAAACTGTCGTCTGACGTAGAGGAATAAATGAGATGCCAGTTGGCATAGTGAATATCTTCCGTTAGTGATGATGATAATGAGTCTATGCAACTTTGCAACCAATTATTTGACGTTAAAAAACATAATTTATTAGAAATCTATCCATAGAAATATTCGTTAGGTTCTTTAAGTACATCAGCATTTGGTCCAAGCGTCACGTCTTCTCCGGCAAACCTCTGTTTATTTACTTCTACCACAGTCTTAACAAATCTATAATAATGAGCCATACGGTCAGAAATTCTCGTTAAATTTGGTTTATTCCATTTCTGAAGGTATTTATCATACAATTCATCCACATCGTTTAAGTCATAAAGCTTGATATCTTTTATTAACTTATGTGGTAACTGTACTTGGCGAGGTTCTTCTTTTACTATATGATCATCTAAAATACGAGTTATTATTAATTTTATCGCATATTATACTCAGACAAACAAAAATCACAGTTTCAATAAAATTCAAGTGATCTGTCGAAATCCATGAAAAAATTGTCGCAAATGGAAATAAGAGTCACTCTTATAACATAACATAACATAACATCACGCCTTTTATCCCCGAAGGGGTAGGCAGAGGTGCACATTATGCTACTGTACAATGTAACACCCACTTTTCACTATTTATGTTATGAGTCCCATGTAATAGGGGGTGAGCCTATTGCCATATACCGGGCACAATTCCAGACTCCGTGCTACTACTGAGATTTTTTTTAAAACCCAGTAATACTTTGCCCGACCCGGGAATCGAACCCGAGACCTCTTGCCCGGCAATCGCAATTGCGACCACTCGGCCAACGAGGCAGTCTTATACTGATAAAGTTTAAAATTACTAAACAAATACTTACATGGAACTATATCCAAAGCATAACGATCTTCTATTGTATCAGTACCTATATCTGCGTATCGATTCAACTGATAGGCTATGACATCCCCTGGATGCCTTTTGTTTAAATCATTTGCTTTTTGCAAATTTTTAACGAAGTTATTATACGCTTCTTCTTCACTTTCAGGACTGTTATACACTCTATGAAAATGAATTTTAAATCTTTCAAATAATGCTGTCGTATCTTCCTCAGTTCCCACAAACTTTATCAAGAAAATTATATTAATAAATGCTGTGATTATCAAGAAGAGCATATTTATTATAAAGCCCTTTTGCTGTATTCAAATTTATAAGCAGTCTTCATTTAACGATACAAGAGCGGGCGAGTAATTTCCGATCACTTTTCCAACCAGTTTCACAGTTAATCAATTTTGTCTCACAGCTACACTTGACCTAACAAACGTTGATTGGAAGTATGAGAGTCGATCCTAACACAAAAGAAACGTTTCTTTAATCACAAAAACAAATATTATCCTCAAATCTCAGTGTGTGTTATCTAATTCGGCGTAAAACAGACGAATTGAAATTCTACACGGTTATAAGCGGCAAACAGTCGTCTTTATTAAATCTCTTGTTATCTGACATTGTATCGATACAAAAGGAGAGATTCCGAGAGTTCTCAACAGAATGAGGAAAATTTACATTACAAACAAAAAGAGAAGAGGAACATCCCAGACGTGAAATTACAACCGTTGGGATCGTATCATGGTTCAGTGAAGCTGGCGCAAAATAATATGGCCTTAGAGGGCCTATTGAGCATTTCGAACGGGGGCTTTATTTATCACTGACTTCACAGATCCACCGCCGACCTTCCTGGAAAAAACATATCATTGGAAACTATAAATAACGAAGAGATCTCGGTAACAAGAGATTTTCGCGTCTGCTTAGCCTAAATAACACTAGCGTAAACAATGATGTCTGGATCGTATCCAAATATTTGCATACAAATCTACTTGTGTATGTATAAAAATATGAAACAAAAGATATAAAGAAAAAGTCTAGTTTGGAGAGAATATATTGGCTTCCCTACTAGTAATAATGTGAGACTGTTACTGTACTGCTGATTGTTGACGCCTATTCTCGTAAAAGGATAGTGTGATCGTTGTAGTGTGTCGATAAAATACAAATAATATAACTCTTATCTATAGTAATAATAGAGTTTTAACTTACGACTAAACAACCTCTTAGTACATTAGAGACAGATTTAAAATCAAATCAGTCCCTTAATACAAACACGAAGTCCTACATAAAAAAAACATATTCAGAATATCTCACCCAAGATTACGTATATACTCTCGATACCTTACAATTGAAATACCAAACAGAGCCACATAGACACAATATACATTACAAAATTGTGCATAAGGACATGACAGCCTTTATAATCAAATTTTCCATGACACAATATTCATATGGACCTATGCCATCAATAGTGAGGGCACGAATTTAATTTGGGCTCTTTGATCTAATATAATATTCAGGGGTCGAACTTTAAATGCGTTAGACCCGACGGTAATCTCTGCGTGTCCTTACGATTAAAATTTTCCCATCGTTAGGATCGTAGCTGTTGGAATTTTGTAATAAATTAATGGGACTCGGAAGATAGGTTTGTGTGCACAATAAATTGTATTTATTTAAGTAATAGTTTTGTTATTTAATTGATATAAACAGTAATAAATCCATGATACCAAACTATAAATGCAATCAGATTCCTACTTCCTCCGACAGCATAAACAATGTTATATGATATTACAGTACATGACACGTTATAATAAAAACCGCTAATGACTTTAACCTGTAACAGTCCTTAGATATCTGTATTGTTAATAATAAAATAATAATACATCTTCATTAAGCATCGTCAGAATAAAAGGTATCTATAGTTGAGGAATGAGAATACATATCTCTTTGTATCTCTTAATCACGTCCAGTACATTAATTTAATTATTTCATTCCAATCAACATTACATCACAATAACCATTACTTATTTGGGTCAAGATGCGACACAAAAAGTATATACTTTATCACAATAACAATAAAAGCTGAATTACAACAGATAAGTGTCAATAAAGTTAACGAAACTTGTCCAACAAACATGACAATGTAGGCGATGTCACAACTAATAGGTAACTAATCAGATAACAAAACTTGTACTCGCTTGTCGCGAACTAAACTTTGTATCAATATTTTCGCTTGACATAATATTCGGACCCGTATTGACTCCCATTTTTTCATCCGAACGAACTTGTATACGAATCATTCTATATGTTTACGTCCCTTTTCAAATACCATCAAACTCAAACCACAGATGATTTATTGTTGAAATATCGGTGCACGAGTATCCGCCGCAAAACGATTTCTGCCTAAAAATATATTGGCAAATAATAGCAGAACATAAATCTCTGTATTTTATAACGCAAATGAGAAACCGCTATCGAATCACCTCGTAAAGGGATCGCGCATCGGATGACGTCATCATAATTATTGAGCTTTACAAAACTGGACCTATAATTGCGAATGTCCAACCTTAATCAAAAATTCTTTGGTAATCAAAAATTTTTGATCTCTGCAAATTAACACGAAAAATGAAAACGATTGGAATAATGATTGGACACGGACAGGTATATTTTTAAGGCTGTCGTTAGCGGAGCTTGTTTACGTACTGGCAATGGCGTACGTAGCGTTATGAGATCTAGATCGCCTATGTTATGAGGCTATTATTCTTTTAGAAGCTGTTCAAGGTACATAATACGTGATTTTTTTCAAGAATGAAAAGACAGGCGCTCACGGATAACACTCTATCGGCAAAAATTGATTTTCCAGGTGAAATATTGTAAATTTTCTAGCTGCGCCAAGATGAACGCAGTGTCAGCGAAACGTCAGGATGTATTTTGTAACTCGCTCGTAAATACTTCTAGTGCCAATTTAGCCTGTATATCGCCAGTTTTGATAAAAATGACGCTTACTAACTTGTACTAAAGAGACAATGAATCTCATACTTGTTTCTTTCAGTTTAATCACTCAAAAATATCGGTAGACGGGGCTACTACTTTTTTATTGTCAATATATTAAATTATATCTACGTATTACCTACGAACAAGATTCAGAATTCGTAAAATGTCGGACACAAAGAAATTATTCTTCTAATTCAATCATTGATTTTTTGACAATCAAAGCATTATTGGATTTTTCGTAGGCGTCAGCAATATAGGGCAATTCCTTTACCAGTATTTTTCTTGACTAAGTAAGAATTATGATTATGTTCAAAATGTAATTGAGTCCCTTTATTACGGAAAATTAAGCCGCATTTACAAAAATGTAGTCAAAAATGGTCAAATTTAGGCTTTAGATATGATTAAAAATGGTACCTAATGAGTTGGACAGTTTAGAATGAAACCTAATGTAATTCTGAGTGTCCTATAATAAAGCCATATGATATAAAGGTACCTTGATTAGGTCGTTTTTAATTGAAATAAGAATAATTTGTATTAAATGTGAGACATACTAAATTAATTATTGTGTTTTCGGCTTACTCGCATGACTGTTTAACGTAGAACTCGACTAGTTACTAGACAGTAGCAGCGTGACAGTCGCCAGTGACAGGTTGCGGATTGCTGCTCATGAATATGAGCCTCTAGCATGGCTTGAAACTGATCGAGTTCCTCGTCAAACAGTTACGTAAATAAGCCGAAAACATAATAATTAAGAATAATTTGAATTGTACCTATCCTTACTTCCTTACTTAATAATAATTAATAATATTAATAATTTTAATAATAATATTATAAATCGGAAAGTGAGTTTGTTTGTTTGTTCCGCTTTCACGCCGTAACTACTAAACCGATTGCTTTGAATTTTTGTAGATGCACAGTTAGAAGTCTGGAATAAATAATAGGGTACTTTTTATCCCGGAAAAATTTGATATTCTTGAGGGAAAACGAAATTATTGGTATAGATGGCGCTGTGTGTATTGGTATATGTCAAAAAGTAGCTTATAAGCTACTTTTTATCCTTTTGTGACGCGAGCGAAGCCGCGGGTAAAAGCTAGTTTATTCATATTTTGAAATTGTTTGATTGAACCTTACCTAATCATACCACTCAAGTAATAATCAGGAATGTTTTATGTAATAAGCAAATTGCCACCTTATGTTTTAACCCGTATACTCCACTATTGATCGTAACATAGTATACGAACAAACGTTACACAGATTATAGTAAATTCATTATCAAAGATGAGTGTTTACTCTCCTGTAATTAAACACAAAGGAATTTCGCTAACGTTATTAATTCGTAATAAATATCTATTAGTTGGTTTAAATTAGATTATATAAGACTTATTGAGATTGTAGACTAATGAGAAATGTTATACAATTAAGTTACGATGTTCAATCAAAATAAAATAAATTGTTATGTGTATTTTGACAAAGTTTTCATTTGTTGTTATTGTGTTAGCGTGTCTGCTGATATGATTTAATAGTTGAATATATTTGGTTTTCGTCCCTTTTTATTTTCATACATTTATTCAAAACTCTCTACTTTAGATAAAAAAAAAGATTCTTAAAAAATCGGAAACATGCCTGTCATTAAGGTTTCAGAGATAAAAATATCCTCATTTTAAGAAGGAACAGCTTTTTACATTTGTACAGTAATTATCAATTAGGTACATACTAAAAATCTCAAACCAGTTCAGTCAAAGGTTAAAAATACTGGTGTTCATAATTTAAAAACAAATATTTTAATATCTATGAAAATCCATTCTACTTTTAAATTACCTACCATTGAAAAAAAAACTGAATAGCTTTCTTTTCATTACATTTTTGGTACAATTACACAAGGAAGTTAATCGTGGGATCAGAAACACTCCTTAGATCTTCAGGTGCACTTGAGGCGGCACTCGCGAACAACGAGGTTTCTAACAAGATTATTTTTCACTTTCGAACTTAATCCTCCACTCGCACCGAACGTGAGACTGGTCAAAGATATCCAATTTTAGTTTTTTTTCTTTCACTTAGCTCCTGTGATGTTGTTTCTTGAAGAGAAACTTACGTTGAGGCGTACTAACAATGCACTTACTTGCAAGTGTAACCACAACACAAGAGAATTTTATGGTGTGAAGTCGTTTTTTTAAATAAGTGATCTAACATTTATTGCATTCGTTACAATACACTGGGGCCTATCGTTAGTGTCAGAAGAATTTCTTGTCCAACCACAGCAGCTATCAATTATCGAACGACCAATGATGTGACACTAGCTAATTCGTATAAGACGAAGAAAGTGGGTTTATATCACTGTCATTTGGTGAGCAAACATACGGTAGGTCCCATTGTAAGTGTGCGCCTTCTGAAAAGCTCTGCATTTCACAAAAACTCATCGGAACATGCCAAATAAGCATAACATAGCATAACATCACGCCGTTTATTCCTGAAAGGCTAAGCAGAGGTGTACATTGCAGCACTTAATGCCACTGTACAATGTAACACCCACATTTCACTATTTTTGTAATCATATATGTAAAAGGGGGTGAGCCTATTGCCAAATACCGGGCACAATTCCAGACTCCGTGCTACTACTAAGATATTTTTTAAAAACCCAGCAGCTAAATAAGCTCACCCTAAAAACAAGACTTACACATTTTTTAATTCGTTTAGTCTCAACAATCATTTTAGTTCATTTTACTTATAACACCATCCTTTACAGCAGCAACAATGTATTTTAAAGTCACTCCAAAAGACAAACGGGTACATAAACTGCCGTCCAGCTGATAGTTGTTTGACCGCTTGACTCGACTCAGTTCGTAATAAAAACGAGTGATGTACACAGTTTACTGACAAACATGCTGATACTTCTTGTTTAATCACCTTCCAAAGTTAGAACACAAGTTAAACCCAGGACAGTTTACCCAACCAGCCGCAACATAGTAAGTACTGGGACTAAGTGCTCTGTTTCTTGAGTTTTATGCCACATTTTGAGTTCGTCAACTCAATGTTGGACTCAGAACTTGGTTCATGTTTTACAAGTTGTTTCTGTTTGCTATCTTAGGTATTTAACTCGTGCTTTGAGATTTTTATATTGATAAATGGCGTGTTAACTTTAGACATATATTTTATATATTATAATAGACAATATAGCGTATATATTACATTACATAACATCACGCCTTTTATCCCCGAAGTGGTAGGCAGAAAAGCACATTTTACCACTGTACAATGTAACACCCACTTTTCACTATTTATGTTACGAGTCCCATGTAATAGGGGGTGAGCCTATT